ATGGAACTATAACACTCATATTATTATTTCTGAATGAACATTATCACATATTGATTTAGAACAAATAAAATTAAAATATAAACCAATCATGGTGTTTTGTCTATAGGATAATGCGATGGTAAATATAAATTGTGCAATTAGTCATAATAGTAGTAATGATAATATTAATAATAGTAATAATAATAATGGTCTTATCAATAATAAGGATGAGAAAGTGAGGCAATCTGTGATAAGACGAATACTGATGATAAACAGCATGATTGAAACAAACAATCGTTCAGGTGGAAGTAGTCGATAAAGGTTAGTAAAAACAAATGGACCGATTAAGTAATGTTAGACTGTAAGGGAAGAAAATGAAACACGTTTATAATGAAGATAAGATTAAGGGATGATAAGAAAGGGGTTGAAAATATAAACAAGGGGTGGTGTAGAAGTCTTTAGTTGGTTATGTCTTAATAGGCCAAGGGAGGGATGATGGCTGTACGAACTTTTTTTGAATGCATAGTTTAGGTTTAATTGTTCGAATGCCTATCGCCTCAGCTGTGTGCAGTAGACGAATACGAAGTCCATTAGAAAGATTCGGTGGGATACGATGATTGATTTCTTGATTGATTATTTTCTATTCAAATATCTAGTCAATTCCATATATATATATATATATATATATATATATATATATATATATATATATATATATATATATATATATATATATATATATGAAGGAAAAAGTTGTGTGAGTAGCTTAATATGATTATGAGCAGTAATAATTTGTGCTCGAAAGTGGTCGCATCAGTTAATATCACTGTGTAACACTGTTTGACTTATCAAATAAAATCTTATCTATAATGGAGTTATTCAACAGTACTCAACCCATAACCCCACAGGATATCAAACCCAGGTGTCCTCCAAATTGTGGGATGAGCCTGTGGGATAATTAGTGAAGAAGCCCAAACTAGAAAGAAAGGGTTATTCAGTACTCCCGAGTTTCTAATGGTTCTCTAACTGGTGTCAATTCGTAATCTAAGATGACATCAATAAATAACAATAATAACTTTGTTAGTACTGAGAAAACACTTTCGCTTTCTTTCATTCCTAAAACAAGCACCAAAGAGCAGATTTGCAAAAGCAAATCTTTTGTAGCTCTATTTGGACTTCTGTTTGGAGTTACAGTAACTGATGTCAACCCAGTATGACGTATAATAAATACTTCAGAGTAAATGAAGACACTGAAGTTTTTGTTCAATTGAAGCGCTTCATTACGTGTTCCAGGTACTGGTGAAGGTTGTTGATTAGCCGCGCAAAACATCTGATTCATAAATGGTTTCACTGACAGTAGATTTATTGAGTCGTGATTTCGAGCGACCACCAACCAATGTCATGGGCGGGAAATCCTTACAAACCAACTCTTGAAAATTAGTCTGATGCTTGCTAGTGACTTGCTACAGAACAAAGTTTCCTGGAGTTCTAATGACCAGTGAGGTCCATCCTGCTAAGGATGGATGTCCCATCGATGACATTGGTTGGTGCCAGTCGCACTGAAAGCACGAAGTAATAGAAGTTAAAATTCATGAGACGGCCACTGAATGGTATACGAGCTTGCCTTGTAACCGGACGGTCCTGGGTTCTGACCCAAGTGAGTGCGTACTGACGATGATTCCCAAACTGAGACGAAACAGCTGTCCAGTACTCCAGTGCTGGTTTTCAATGTTTTTCTAACTGATATCAATCCATGGGCAAACTCGAAAAATAAATCTAATCCTTACAAACCAACTCTTGAATATAATAATAACTTTATTCTGGAAAACGCGTTTATCCAGTGTAGAAACTGTAAGTGAAACAATAACTGATAATATATCGTTGGAAGCAGTACTGTCCAACCTAAAGCATAATCCAATCTCACAGCAATTTTCCCTCGTTTCTTTTGAAAATTCCATCATAGTAGACTGAAATACCTTTAGAAATGGGAATGAGCACCGACTACGATCCAGAGAATTATTAGATGATCAGAATAATATGAAACAGAGCAAATTTATTGTATTTCGTAGGATGGAAAAAGAAGTAGCTAAATGACTTAAATAGACCGCTAAGTATTACCTAAACTCATATTGTTTTATTTGAGTTCCAGATTTGCCTTAGTTCTGGCAATCTTGTTCATACAAAATAATAACTATAATTCTTGTTTTACTCTTCATGATTGTGAATTACATGCGCTTTAGTCAACATGAAGTGCTAGAGGATTTGTTTAAAAATGCTGATTCTGAAATCTTGTCTAGTTTACTAGTTTACCGTACCCGTTAACTAGCTAGTCCTAAGCCCGAAAAAAGCGGGCGTAGGACTGGTGATTCTACCCCGGAAAATTAATCTAATCTCTACAAAAACTTCAAAGGACAGAAAGAAAAGTACAAGAAAATAAACATAAATCCTGAAACCAGCGTATAAAGATTCTAGCATCATGAAATACCAACAATTTAACTGAGCTTATGAAGCGAGTTATGCTGGCCGTTGTTCTAGGAAATTGGTTTTTCGCGCTCTGGAACACCTACCAGTGTGGCTAAATAATGGTGTAGTAAAAATCATCAACAGTTCGATATTAGAGCACCTGGTCCAAACTGGCCATAAAGCTAACATTAAAGAATCTTTTTCTATTAGCTACCGAGAGTACCAAATAACTGGCTAAAAACCGCATAATCCAAACAGCACAGACTATTGCAATTCATCTGAAACAGCCGCTGCTCTGTGTACAGAAGAAACAGGTTCAACCACTATTACTGCCCTGGCCTGCTGTGGAGTTTGCGAATTCATAAATGCCTTATTACATCGGCCTTTTACGATATGGACCTCCATCCTGTACCCATAAACTCCTTTACCCCCTGTCATTACACTCGCATTAACTAACCTTTTGTTTTCTTATTTAAATGTAACTGTTAACTTACACGCTGACGCACGTACTTACAACGTACATAAAATTCAACCCTTATTAATATATGTGTAAAACTTCGGCCTAAAAACTCAATTAGAAACAAACTTTGTCGGTTAAAGGATCAATCCTGTGGAGCCTTTAAAACAAAACAATTTAGTTTATCTAATACCCTGTCTGCAATGATTGTCAGGTCAAATACATAGGTCAAACTAGTAGAACAGGGGCAGTCAGACTAGACGAAAATACAAACCTAGCAAAATCTAGATTAGTTGAACCGGATAACACAAGAATTCTAGAGAATGGTTCAGTCGTAGATAGCACTACATGCAATTACACACAACCATACAATAGAATGGATGGGATAAGATGACAGTTTTAAAATCTAATGTCACAGCTGGGTGGAGGGAGGTAGTGAGAGATTGATAGCAACGGATGCCTTGTTTATCGAATCAACTGCAAATACATGTAATAGGAATGATTCAACACCTGTCCCAGATATCTGGAAAATTCTACTACCCACACGACAAATAAGGAAGAACACAGAAAACTATATAACTCAAGTTTTGAAGTTGTGTGATTATAATTGATATGATTATGAACAATAAATTTTGTTCGAAATGTCATCCAGTAAATAATAGTGTTTCACTGTGTGATACATCTAATAAACAAAATAATATGGAAAAATTCAACCCTCAAATGTTTTTTTCTCTGTCCCCGTCTTTGACATGATCATTTATCCATCCGAAGTTTATAATCAATATGGATAGAATTTAATATAAAGATGACTGATGAGAATTTATTACTATATATTCTTTGTCATGCATAATCATCGACTTTGTAATATTGATGTTCAATTTAGTATTACAATTTTACATGTTACCACATACACACATATATTTTGGACTACACTACATTAAAAATCTAATTGAAAATAACTTCTGATCTAAATGATTCGGTGTTACTGTTTTTAAAAACCACCAATGTTGTCAATAACAATCATGCTTTCATTATTATGGATACATATATGACAGTAGAACCTGATGATGAAGTTATCGAAACGAATATTCCTTGTTCAATAGTCAATCTTTTGAAATTTCGAATAGGCATCTTTAATCAATACTAACAATTGTTTCATAGAGACACTCAGTTGAGCAGCATACCTTCGACATCGATATCAGTGCTAACTAAAGCTGGACATCAATACCGATAGGGTTTACGGATAAACTCAAATAGATGTAAATGAAATGTTGCTAAGCTACTCAAATACATTTGAATAAATGTATCCAAATACTTGTTCATTCATATTCCTGCCTTTTGAATAACTGAGCAACATGCCGGTTCCAACCGATATCTGCTGCTTTAATGTGATGGTGGCTCTTGCATATTGAAATCACCCAATGAATTACACTGGTTGGAACCAAATGTCCCTAGACATCTTATCATGCCATCTCAGTCAACATGTCGGTTACTTTCAGTACTTTCGGAAAAGTACTTCCTTTAAACTGAAAAATGAAGATAGACTTAGGCATAAACTTATGTATGGCTACAGGTTTGTAATGCGGTTGGCATAATATACTACATTTAAAACTAAATATAATGAAGGCAGCAAGAAAAATGAATAGCACAGTTCACCTTTGAGCTATATGGCTAAACTTACCTTCGATAACAGTGTTGCGCAAATGCGTATAGATACAAATAACAAACGAAAAGAACAAGATGAATTGGATGAGGTAGGACTGAAAGACAGGAAAAATAAAATAAAATTTTTACAATGTTACTTCATAAAGCCGGAACGAAATAATTTAAGTATTGGTTTTGTAGGGATTTTGTTTGATTGCATGGAGGATTTAATCATGAGCTGACATCAGTTAGAGTCCAGTACTCCCACGTTTTCCAGTGGTTCTCTAACTGACGTCAGCTCATGATTAAATCCTCCATGAAATAATTTAACAAAAACAAACTGATAAAAGTTTGCACTCCCCTCCTCTGTAGTGATTATAATCGCCAGCTTTATTCTCACTCAATAACAATTTTAATCTTATCAAATTCCGAACCATTTTTTCTTCTTTTGTGCCATTGAGTACTACGTAATTTACAACTCCTAACTTTCACTTCTAAAGCCACTTCTGAGTAATTACATCAATTATATCACTTATAACTCAATAATAGACCACTATATATTTTTTGGTAAGTATAAATACGACTGTACAGCCTCTGATGATGTCGTCGATAAAGGAAATCTTCACCTCTGAATTTGTCTTTTATTTTCTTCATGACTCAATGGATATTTTCGGTGATTTAATAGCTATCTAATTACACATTATACCTGTCAAGATAGGAAAGAATCCCGGAAAAGCGGACTTCATCACCAACAGATGTCAGTTACGGAGTTATTGAAAACAAATAAACAATAATAGACATAGATATGATAGAGAAGATTTGTAGCTCAGGTGGATAATTTTGATGTGGTTTTGTTCTCTGAGCTGGATGGTTAGTTTGCGAAGCTTTCATCGCCCTACTGGGTGACATCTCAGCGCATCTATTTCATCTGACTTCTTCAGCCGGCAACAGTCCAGAATTATCAACTAAAAAGGAATCAAACCCAGAACAATCAAATAATGCGGTGTCCATGTTTCAATGCACCTATAATTTGTAATACTATAGCACTCACCCTTAATGACCTTATAGATTACGATTTCCCATTGAAACTTTGGAAACTTTAATTTGACACCATTAACTGGTGAATTCTTAACCGATTGTGTGAGGTTTGTGAAGAATGAAAATGATAGATTCCTACTTTTGATGGTTTTTAAAGTAAGACAAAAAACAGCTATTCATCACTAGTGAGTTCCCAATCATTTTTAGATGCTATTTGGTTTACGACGAGGATTATCTTTAGATCAGTCTAGCCCTCATAAACTGAACCTTAATAATCAGTAATATTTTGAATGTGTCCATGTCAAAATAAACAATTTTCCTACAAATTATAATAATTTGCTGCAGATCCACCAAAAGATATCAATGTCAATAAACTAATCGATTGGTAGTAGATGTTTCCGTGAAACCTAATTATGTTGATTTAGATTTAATCAACTAAGGAAATCACTAAAAATCACTCTACTTCAAGGACTTCCCAGGAGAGAACACCCGTGATCTCCAGCGAGGATCCAACCCAAGATCTTAATACACAGAGCCGTAAAGCAGGACCACATAGAGCTGTTCAGCAATCGCTTATTTCAAGTTAGTTTCTAGCCTATATCGTTTTATGACTACATTAATCAAACTTCTTTACAAACCTAATGCCTTAGACAGTTTTTGGCCGGTAATAAAATCCAAAAACATTCTGTATACATGGTAGGATATATCCTTTTGTATAACTAGTAATTCAACTTACTAATAACTTATACAAACATAGTCATACTTCAAACAATTGTAAATATATAAGTAATCAAAAAAAATTAGAAAGAACGGGTGACAACTAACCTACCTGGGTAATATAACCGATAATACAACAGAATAACATACAGACTAATGTAAAAAATAATCGGAGCAGTATGGATACATTATGATACAGTTTTACTTCAATCCATGCAGGAGTAGATTGATATTTCATATATACACTTGAATCCTCATTTTGGTTATGACCATTATTATTATTATGACGATTTGAAGAGATTAACGGATACAACGTTAAACAGTTTTTTAAACTCGTTTGATTAGGAAACCGGTAGAGTAAATCACAACCACAAGGAAGATGAAATAGTAGTGATAAGTCATCAATTATCCTTTCGAAAGGAATAAATATACAAAATGGAGAAAAATAGACAAGGGTTAAATTAAACTTAATGTTAATTACAATTACTATTGAGTCAAATCAATATACCAAATTTGATAACGAACTAACTTCAGGTAAAGAACCATTTAGAAACAGCAAGTACTGGTCAGCTGTTTTGTCCTTGTTTGAGAGGCATCCACGACTCCACCAAAATCTTCAAGGCAGCTCGTTGACCACTGAGTTGCTGAGCTGGAATTTAATAACCCGTGAACTTTAACTTCTGTCAGTTTGCTAAACAGCTCTACTATGGGTCGTTGAATTCCGACTCAGTGTGTCAAAGAGCTGGTCTTGTAAACCGAAGATCCAGGGTTCGTCCGTGGTGGCATCATGAGTGTGTACTGTGAAATAGTCCCAAACTAAAATGAAACGACTGTCCAGTGCTTCATGGTCTTCAATAGTTCTCTTACTGAAGTCAGTTCATGATCAACTTCGAAATCAATGGATTCCGTGAAAACCAATACTTTAATCAATATATATTCAAAATCAATATGTTTATCAATGTTTAACTTGATTTTCCTTACTCTTTTCTTATTTAACTTGATCTTCTGAGTTCAGTTTACTGTATTTTATCACATACAATATTATCTTTCCGTAATAACTTTAATTCAAACCAAGCTTTAATCTGATTTGAAATCTTTAATCGCCATGCTCTATTACATTCCTTTTCTATTATTATTAAATTAGTAGACAGAAGACAAGTAGTTCAGCGAAGAGTCTCTTTTCGGCGAATTCATTCATTCTGTTTGTATGCTTATTTTTCTAACTTAAAACCCTTGTGTAATTCTGTATATTATTTTGTTTCCATGTACACCCTTTGAGCACAACTCATTCATCAAACTATTCATGCCATTACGTAACTCTTATTTAACAATCATTTATGACAACTCATCACTTTTGTTGCTATCCTCTTATCAACATCCAATTCATCTGAACCTACTAATTGTATTTTCGTTTGACAAATTTAATGTATACACACACACACAAAATAACCATATATATTTGCGATTGTACAGCTATGAAAATGAATTCGCCGAAAAGAGACTCTTCGCTGAACTACTTGTCTTCTGTCTACTAATATTATTAAATTCTCTGCTTATTTATGCAAGCTCCAAGTTCACCCCCAAATTCATACATATGCGGAACTTATTAACCCTGCCCTGTCTCAAACAACTTTTAACTTTATCACGACACTATTTTGCTACACTTTACTGATCCATTGAGTGGAGACAAAGCACACCAGGCTAAGCAGCGAACTTTCAGGCAACAAGTCAAGGGTTTGAATCCTGCACTACCTACTTCAGCTTGAGCAATCGGGTAGGTTGCATCATAAAACGTCACACGATACATTCGACTCATAGCCCATCTGGCCCATTAAAGATCTGTCATTCATAACTGATTTCAAACGAACAAACAAAAGAACATCTACTGACTTCCGCTAAATGAACTAAAGTGGGTTAGAATTTCGCCATAATGTGACATATAAATGTTAAATGTTGTACGCAGAAAAGGTGAAGGATGTCATAAAATAGACTTGGATTGTACTGTTTCAATGTTTATTTTGGGCCGTTTTCAAGTAAATAGGGATATATATATATATATATCAATTCAAGTGACCCGACCGATATCCGCTACCTTGACTTGGTGGTCGGGCTTGCACATAGTAATGACCCAACAAGTTACACCGGCTGGAACTATTGTTCCTGAAGGTCCTACCATGCCAGGAAGGTTGTTAGGATAGCGATTAGACTACAAGCAGTTACCGGCATAGTGTATGAAATTTGTTACACTGTGCTGGGAGTCTGTGGGCGAAGTTTTACCGCTGGGGAACAGAGATGTAACAGCAGTAAGGTGTTTCCCTCAGACAAACAGCATCCCAGCTACGCCATCTCTCCACTCTGGAGACAGAGGGTTAGAAAATGTTGACCCCAACAATTGTACATCCCGACTTACCCTACGGTGGTCCGTAGTCGGCGGTAAGTTTACTAATACGGAACTAATTCAAGAAACCAGTTCATACAGGCCGTGTATGACTGGCCTCAAGCAGTTGTCCCTTGGGCTCTGCGGTTACACAACACTAAACTTTCAGTTTCAGATACCCGGAGAACCAATCAATTTTCACGATGTGGGAAGCCGGGAAGAAACAACCGCCCACACACTTCCAAGTTCACACGAAGGCTTCCTAAACATCATTCTCTTCTACCCTCATCACCTTCATCATCTTTCTCCGCTACTAGAGTCGGTACTATTCTTCAGGATAGTGAGTCATTTTCACTTCACTCTGTGATCACAAACAACGATGAAAGCCATAGAAATAACCCCGACAGCCTCTTAAAGCCACGTCGCCAACTTCATATAGCAGCATTCAACGTCAGGATCCTCTGCCAAAATGGGAAAACACGCATCAATAGCAAGAACTCTGGCATCTTGAGCCATGGATGTATGTTGTATTACGGAGACGCGCATACAAGAACCAAGTGTGGTTATTCACTTAACCTCAAAAACAATGATTTTTCTGAGTAAGCTACTTTCAGGGACCATGTCTCACAAGCATTTAGCAAAAGGGAGTGAGCTGTAGTGTAGACGTGTCACCAGTGAAGATCATCCACACTGGGAAATACCACACACTTTTTCCATCCGTATCAAGGTTTTATGAGCAACCAGTCTGTTGGGTTTGATGATATTCATCGAGTCTGTCTGTTTTCGACATAGAGCTTTGCACAAATGTGCGGAAGTTCAAGTCGCCACATTCCGTGTAGCAACCGAAGCAAGAGAAGAAAGTACAAGAAAAGCATAATAGAAACAGTGAGCAGAGGTGTGAGACAAAGGAGTAATAAAGAAATACAAAACAGTTTCATTGGAGATCATAAGTCACAGGGAGTGGATGCATCTGCGCCACTGAGAACGATTTTGAGCCATGTCACCAATTGTTTCCAACCATAGATTTTTACCGTCCCGAGGACCCCAGCCTGGAAGTCTACACCTTCCTACGTGGCTTAGACCAACTGTTGTGGATTTCATTGACTGATGCCAAGTTTTTGTTTGACCGCCGCTAGCTTTTTTCCAGTCTGACCCTATATCCGCTAACATTGCTCGTCGAGGGAGGCGATGGCTTGGCATACGTAACACATGTCCTAACCATCTCAGTCGATGTAGCTTCACGACTTCGTCGATTGATTTCCCCTGTTTACCTAGAACTCTACGCCTAACCTCCATGTTGCTCACCTTATTATGCCACTTTACACGGGAAATAGAACGCAGGCACCTATGATCAAAGACAGCTAGTCTTTTCATGTCTTCCACTCTCAGTGGCCAGGTCTCACAACCATACAGGAGGACGGAGCGGACTGATGAGCAGTACACCCGCCTTTTGGTCGATAGTCAAACATCTCGTCTACGCCAGAGTCGGCGTAAACTAACAAATGCGAAACGAGCCCCTTGTATTCGTGCTGAGATTTCGTCAGAGATCAGCCCGTTGGGGCTGATGGTACTTCCCAAATAAGTGAAGCGGTCAACGTGCTCTACCACTTCACTTCCTATTTTTAAACTAGGCGGCGATGTAGTCCACCCGACCGAAAGCTGCTACCTTGACGTGGTGGTCGGGCTTGAACACCGCAATGACCTAATCAAGCTATACTGGCTGAGACTTATGTTTCTTGAGGTTCTACCATGCCAGGCAGGTTGTTTGGATAGCGGTTAAACAAAAAGCAGCTACCCAATCCAACATCATGTCCAATACAAAATTACAAAATTTCATGCCGGATCGGCCGTGGCCCGGATTAACCACGACCGCGCTTCCTGCTGCCGTGTCACAGGGCGGGAGTGATAAATCTGCTACTGAGACACACCAAACAAAAAAGAACGAACAAAAACAGGCCGCGTGTGACCGGCCTCAAGCAGTTGTCCCCTGGGCTCTGCGGTCACGCAACCAACTTCCACGGTGTGGGCAGCCGGGAAGTAACAATCGCCCTCACAATCCGAAATGCACACGAAACCTCTCTATTCATCGAGTGAGTGAAGCGGTTCACACATCTGTAGCATTTGTACACATGAAGGCATTTTTTTATTTTAAATTACCAAGGAGAAATACTATTAAAATAATAAAGAAAAATATTATTATAAAGAGTGACTAAATAAACTGCTTACATGGTAGTTTCCCACCTCCACAAGAAGAGTACAGGTTAATTAGGTTGACTAAGTTTCTAGAGTATGTGATTCCTTCAACAAGTTTACTAAAAATACCGACAGAATTTGTTCTCATTTAATGGTCAAGTCATTGGATAATGGAAAAGGAAAGGAAGACAAATAAACTGAGACTGATATCGCTTCCAGGATGACCAACTCTAAAACGAAAAAGACAAAATACATTGGCAAAAAATTATTATGATACAAACTACAAAAAAGTCGGATGACAGCCTTACATACTGACTCGCTAACCTCTCTCCTCTCCTGCCCCTCTCCAAAATTAATGAGTGGGCTGCTTTTAACAGTGCCTAACGAATAAAAACACAATATTATACCTGCAACTGTCAAGGAATTACTCACTTAAGTGCAATATCGAGGAATGGTAAGAATGTACGATTACAGCACAATGCGGACAATATTTATATGAATCCTCAAAATCGCACTGATCAAAACTATTTCTTCCGCAAATGGTAGGGGGTTATGACCACACCTTTCTTTTATTCATGAAGTCTCTTAGGTTTTGTCATCTAATTAATCAAATCTTGGACTTAGGTGTCATAGTTAGCCACGACTTAAAAACTACAGCACACTGTCGCGCGGTGGCTGCACGTAGTTTCAGGTCCTTATGGGCGATTCGCAGAGCCTTTACAAGAATTACCAGAGATATGTTCACCTCCTTATACACATCTCTGGTTAGGTCAAGACTGGAAAACTGCATCCAGGCCGCCAGTCCTTGTCTAAAAGGGGATTCACACATTCTAGAAAGTGTTCAAAGGAAGGCAACACGTATGGTTCACGGCATAGCTAACTTATCATATGAGGAAAGACTAGATAGTTTAAATCTCTTCTCACTGTCATACCGTAGGCAGAGAGGAGATCTAATCACAATGTTTAAAATTTTAAATAATGACTACGGACCTGACCCATTCTCCCTTTTCCTTCCCACCAGGTCGGAACACCTTAGAGGACATAGCAGGAGAGTTCAAAAGCCAAGGAGAAATCATATTGTTGTTGAGTACTGGTTCTCATATCGAGTCATAAACTCTTGGAACCGACTCCCAGAAGAAGTGGTGTCTGCAACCTCAACTGATTCGTTCAAGAAGGGTTTGGACAACCACAGAAACCTACTAGAAAAGGATTAACATAGGCTGCAAGCCTTCTATCCTCAACCAATAAATCTGAATCTGAAAACTATTTAAATGCACTGAAGTAACTAGGTTCGTTAAGGCGATGAGATGAGTAATGGTTTAGGCTTCTGTCATGTGCTGTGGTGAGGCAAAATGTGAAAATCAACAGTAGCATATTCCACCTTCGATGGCCTGACTTACGTCTAGTTGTTACAACAGGTGTATTAGACTCTGATTATCGGTATACAGGTTCAGATTACGAATGATGCTGCACCTGCAGAGTTAAAATGGTATTTATTCGGAATCCAGTAAACAAGACAGATTTGACTGAAAATAACCCTCTATTGATATGAGGGATTAAGATAACTTGTCGGCTAAGTATATTGCACTTCGTTATATACGGCAGTATATATGCGATATATGTAGATGCAAATAATTGCGCCTATGTCTAAAGGACGAACATTCTGTAACTGATGCGATTTCATTACAACAATAAACATTCTTGGAAACAGCACATTCTTGAGACCAATTCTTACTACTACCTATTTAAATACTCGAAAGTATAAAGAAAACGTTCCACATCATCAAAGTCAACTACCAATTTAGGACAGAAGAACTATTTTACTTAAGTTTGAAATTTTGAAAATACGTTTTGGCATATTGTGGCGAAAAACTGGTACCTATGGTTTGGCAATGTCATCCTCGATCAATAAAAACATCGTAACGAAATCTGTTGATTTTCCGCCTTTACTTCAAATGTCCATTAGGCTATTTACGAGCTAGTGTTAACCACTTTGATTTTTCTGTATCTTCTTCACGATAGCAACGAAACACTCCATGTGTTTTAGTGGATTTCTGTGTGTTCTGTGAACCCATTTGCTTACAGTAGATATAGTAGACTCCGGTCCTGGTGGGTGGCTGGTCTACAGTGATGGGATATTCATGGTCCTTCTGGAGGCAATAGATCATTTAGTCAATAGTCAGTGAATGCAAAAGATGTGGAAAGATTAAACCAAAAAGAAAGGATGAGTGACACCCTAAAGTTTTAGCTCCTTAATAAGCTATCTTAGGTGGATTTTTAAAAAGCAAAATAGCGACTCACTAACTGGGCTGCTTCAAACCACTTAAGATCTTGAGAACAGTTATCGGGTAGTAGCTGAGCGTGTAAAGAACTTGCTTTAGCAGCATGTCACCAGACGGAATTTCGCGAGATAGCCACTATATACCTTGCTACTCCTTGCAAACTTTCCAAAGAGTCAGCCTATGTTTAATAATAATGGGGAGAAAATGTGTTTGGCCCTGTAATTTGACAGCAGAAAAGTTTTAAAAACCTCATGAATAGCCGTAGAATGCGTGAAAATGTATATCTACACAGGAGTTGAGAAGGAGCACATGCACTGACCACGTCCCCAGGACTCAATGCAGCTTCTTTTTGTCATCCTTGGGGCTTCTGAGTTCTGTGGCTTAGACTGCCAAGAAGGTTAGTGGTGAACAAAGACTCTATCAAGCCAGGATGAAGTGACTGGAGAGGAGTAGCTTCCCTCATACAGGAGAAAAAGACTGGATTTTTTAATCTGTTGATCGGGCTGCAAAATGTTTCCACTAGTGTAGCAATGAAATTGTGGTTACTCCTAGGAAGATGTTAAGGATGATTTGGTTGTCAACTTTTAAGTCTTTTAGCTTAGTTATCCACAAAGCCTCTACCAGCAGCTGATCGTCCACGGCTTCTTACTATCAGGACATCATTTTTCGTAGCCATTCTGGTATCTCTCAGGTGACCAAAATTAGAAAATGCACCTAAAGTAACACGAAGTAGACAAATTATTAAATCCACAGTCCCAAGGCTGAGTATGTAGGCGTGCCGTAGATTGCAGAATGTGTTACTTACATCTTGTTGAAATTACAGCTTGTCCACGGCTTGTTGAAGTTACGTGCAAAACTACTGTAGCTGTAGCATTCTACTGCTGACTCCGGTATCAGTCACTGTCAATGCAGTTGAAGATTGAACGATCAATTCATGGTTGTTTGCTCAAAACCAACTTCTCCAATTTTCGCGGAGGCATCAATACGGCAGTCATCGTCTCATCAGTCGCTGTTCAGAAAGAAGTCAGCAGTAAACCGTCAGAAGTATTATTGTGATTTATTATTGTAATATTTGTTCACAGACCTTAGTGGAATTATTTCTTATATGTTGGTGTTACAATAAAGAATTCTCGAGCGGCCAATCGATGTTTTGGATTTGCGTCCGTTCGTACTAAGCGTTTCTGAAAAACTTCAAGGAACAGCGTGAGCCCGAGCGTAGCAAGAGCTGGGCATTAACGGTTTACGAGACGTGGCTGACAGTCACAAATCACAAGATATTTTCTAACGTAGCCGGCTCTCATGGCGAACAACCATCTACAGACCACCAGATACACTGGTTTATTAGGATACCGTAATGCCAAATAAGACGCTATGGAGAGACAGTAAAGTGTGGGAACATAAGAGTTTTCAAAGCGAACTTTGAAAAGGGAGTTAATTTTCACGCTCTTGTTTATAATTGGATTTTGTTGTGTTATACGCTTCAAAAGTCCACAGATTTAACTTTAAATCAGTTTATTCTGGTCGAAGTTAGTTTACGTTTCAGATCTGAGTCTATTAATTATAATAAGTGTTCTTATAACATAATAGCCACATATATCTATCTTTGTGCACTCATTAGCTTTTATCACTGATTTACAAAGGTTATATATATATATTTGAAGTTGTATTTAACTTTTCCTGGTTCGTTTTAAATAAAATGCCTATTAAAAGAAACCGCTGCGGAAGGGCTATGTGCCAGTTTCCAGTGGATGAGGGAATGCAGTGTGATAACTGCAAGAGATGGTTTCACAGTATGTGCACGAACCTTACTCCAGCAGCATACAAACGCTGCTGCAAACCTCTAGCGAACTGGTTATGCAACGACTGCTGTAGTACAACTAAACTCCGTATTACAGAAGCCATAGCTACTCTTAGTGGGGCTTTAAAGCTCATGGACTGCAAGCGTCCTCCACCACAGAAGAATACCGACTATTGCTCAGATAGCGATGACGTGACTAGCGTCATTGACAAAACAGCACATGTCCCAGATGCGACCTTGCCAATAAGTGAGTGCTCTACAGCACAGAAGAACACCCACCATATTACAGACACCCAGGTCGCCCCCACGATACTGGATGAGCCCTCCAGTGACAGTAATGGAAAGACTGCCGTGAAGAAGAGGCGTACTAGGGGTCGAAAACCTGCAGCTCCAGTCGCCCAGGGACTGGCGGAACAAGCCTCATCCACACCGGTGAGCAGCAGACAGACGAACCCCACTAAGATTAGCGAGGAGGACGCCAATGAATGGCGCACCGTAGTCTCTCGCAAAAAGCGAGATAAGGATAACACTTCGGCCACACCGCCCAAGAAGGATAGAAACACACTTACGCCTCAGGGCAAGAAAGTAACGGAAAGCAAACCCGATCTCTCTGATAGGTCTCTCATTCTCCACAAAGTGGAGGAGTCACTGGCTCTCGACCCTAAGACCAGATTCGAGCATGACCTTAACTTGGTCAAGCCCCTTTTAGACAAGCTACTGCCACAAACAGTATCAGGCATTACTATACACAGCGTATACAGAATAGGTCAAAAGCCTGACCCTACAGTAAGTGAACCTGTACGTCTCCTCAAAGTCGTACTAAACTCTAAAGCGGAGAGGGACGCTATTCTAAGCAACTCTCATATTCTCAAAGGATCAGGGATATATGTCCGCGCTGACTTAAGCCTGGCAGACCGTGTCAAAAGACAGGCTGCGGCACTAGAATTAAGTGAGCGACGCCGGAACGGTGAGAAGAACCTTAAGATTAAGGGTTTTCGGGTTGTCCGAGTTCGCAGTTTAATGATCCCGAAACCTCTGTGGGTGGGCCGGGGAAGCACCAATCTGAATTAACAGTCTGCTACACAAACGCCCGCAGCCTGTTAAATAAAAGGACTGAGCTGGCAAACATGATAGAAACCGGAAACCCGGATGTAATTATTATCACAGAGACATGGCTCACACCCGATGTCACTGACAACGAAGTTAACCTGCCAAACTTCGAAGTGCACAGGGTAGACCGACTAAACCGCAAAGGAGGGGGCGTAGTCATCTACCTCAAGAAAGGCTTAACCGTGCGTAGTATCGAAGCACTCGCCCACGAAAGTGAGTCGTGCGAACTTCTACGCTGCAGACTTAAATGCATAGGCCAAGACATTGACCTCATTGCTGTGTACCGCAGTCCTGACTGCAGTGCAGACGACTTCCTAATAGAGAAGCTAGGCTCCTGGACTTCAAAATGTCGAAGTCTCGTAGTCGGTGACTTCAACGCCCCAACAGTTGACTGGTCGAGCCTAACAACTCCATCTTCAGTCAACTCCTTTGACCATAAACTGCTAGAATCTAGTATATCGCTAGCCCTAGTCCAACATATCATTAAGCCCACGCGCTATGACTCACAGCACTCCTCATCAACTCTGGACCTAGTGTTCTCACACGGTGAGGATGTGGATCTCATACAACATCTTCCTCCGTTAGGAAGAAGTGACCATGCTGTGCTCACTTTCAAGTTCACAGCAACGGCAGCAAGGGCCAAAACCCCAGCTCGACCAAACGTTTGGAAAGCTGACATAAATGCGATCGTCTCAGCAGCCAACTCAGTAAACTGGTACATCAATCCAGAGTCCCAAGTAGAAGCCGCATGGAACCAATTTAAGCAACTTTACGCCCAAGTAACTGTACCCTTCATCCCTTGGTCTGTTCCAAAGGGTCGGAAACATTCCCCCCCTTGGATAAACCGGGAGATTCGTAAGTTACTCAGACGTAAACGCAAATGTTGGAACCTGTTTGCAACACTTGAGACTTCTGAGACCAGGGAATTATATACTACTGCTAGAAATAAAGCTATCGCAGAAATCCGCCAATCAAGGATGAAGTTCGAGACACACCTGGCCCAAAATGCAAAGGCACAACCTAAGAAAATTTTCTCGTACTTGAATTTCAGGAATAAAACACCCAATGGTGTCCCAAACCTGATTATTGACAAAGATACAATCGAAGAAGATCAAGAAAAAGCAGAAGCAATGGCAAACTACTTCTCCCAAGTCTTCACTCAGGAGTCATCACTGCCTATAGGATCAGCTCTGGCTGCATCAGAAGAACATGGGATAGATTCCGTTGACATCGACCAAGGCATCGTGCTCAACTTCTTAATGAAACTAGATGCAGGAAAATCAATGGGTCCTGACAGTCTTCATCCAAGGCTTCTCAAGGAGCTATCAGCCCACATAGCCGGCCCCTTGACCACGATCTTCAAGCTATCTCTCCTAAATGGAGTGTTGCCACGTGATTGGAAAGACGCCATAGTAACCCCCATACACAAAGGAGGATCAAGACAAAGCCCTTCAAATTACAGGCCTATCAGTCTCACCAGCACTTTAATCAAGACACTGGAAAGAATTATCAAGAAAAGCATCATGGCTTATCTGGAAAATAGCAGCTTGTTATCTGGAGCACAGCATGGCTTCCGGAGGAACCTCTCATGCCTGTCAAATCTCCTGACTGCAAGAGAAAGCTGGGTCAAATCAAAGGATAACAGAAGACCCGTTGACGTCGTCTTCATAGACTTCAGTAAAGCCTTTGATAAAGTACCTCACAAAAGA